ATTCCTGGGTAGTGCTGCTTCTTGGGAACAGCGTAGCTAACTTTGAGAGGTTTTTGGCCGAGTCCTTTGAAGCCATTCATGTGAGTGAGGGCATCCTTATACTCATCCTCAGAATAAAATCTCACAAAAGCAAAGCCTTTACTCTGTCCATTTGGGTCATATATCACTAGAAAAAAAAGGGAAGAACAATTATTTATATATAGTATAAGGAATTTACTGTACAAAATGTAAATGCATTAAACTCAGTTTTTTATTTTTATGTTAACCCTCAAAGCATCCAGTTATGGTAAGTCATCCTGTCATGTCCCCCCCCCCCAAAAGGGGACCATTTTGGGGGCTTAAACGGTGTAATTTGTTGTCAAAAGACCGAAATCTTGCATAATTTTGTGCTCTGGGCATTTAAACTTCCCGCTAAGCATCAATATGTGTGTGCAAGAGTCAAAGAGAATAACCCAGCATCTCTCAGGCAAGTGAGCCAAATAGGAATGTAAAATTATTTTTCTCAATTTTGTATTCATAAATATTTTGTCTCTGCTCTCATTACTCACAAACTCATGGAAAATATGTAATAAATACAATATCATAAGGTTTTACCAATTTATTTTGCCATGGCAAATGTTTTTATATAGAATAGCAAGAACCATGTGACAGCAACAATGTGTCTCGACTGTCTAACCTGCCTGACTGAATATAAACAATGCTATATTTTTGTTTTACTTGACAAAAAATAGATTTAATGTATTTGTTTTCTACCTGCTTAAAAAAATTTTTTATTCCATTGATTTATATGGCTTCTCAAGAAAATATAAGAAATTATTTATGTAAACACTTAAAAAAACATAACTTGATAATGGCAATGCCTCAAGCCCCTACATGTGTCACCACACTCTACCTCACATCACCAAAACAATACCATGTTCTTTGTAACCTAAGTTAGATATAATGAAATATGTTATGACCTGTAAGCTGCATAGCGTGGCATGTTAGTGTCTCAGTGTGTGTCAAGGAGAAGTGAACAAGGGTGGGGGGAATAAATATGGGATAAGGCCATCTCTGTCACTCGCACCCCCCACCTCCCCCAAAAGTTGTTATGGCCTCTAAGTTACATAGTGTGGAATGTTAGAGTGTCTGTATCAAGGAGACAGTGAAAAAGGAAGAGATAAATATAGGAGCTCTCTCACCCCCACCCCCACAACCCACTCAGGTGACCAAGATCAGTTGCTACCAGTCCCATTTTCACTTATTTAAGCTGTAAATCTATGTATTAATAGTGAGTGCGGGAGATTCATAAATACAGTGGCATTTTAAAACGGCGGTGACACCATAGTGATTATGCAATCCTGCCATTTTAAAATGGTGGTGACGCCTAATGGGTTAAAAAAATATCGACATACAGGGTATACAGAAATCAACTAAAAAACTACAATGTAACAATTCTAAAACAGTTTCAGTCTATTCTTTAAGACTATTTTTACAAGATTTAAAAACCAAAAGATAATGTGACAGACTTTTACTTTATATGAAAAAAAATCAAATAAAGATATAAGTTGCACTTGAACAAAGAACACAATTAATTAACTAGAGTTGGGTCTTCATTTACGTAGTCAATTGAACCCGCGGAGTACCGCATAAAACGAGAAACGCGTAAATGAAATAACAGAACATATGGGATTGACTGAAATAGAGACTGGGCCGACCCCCAAACTCCACTTTTTCCAACACAATACGTACCTTGTAGTCAAAATAACATCTTAATTTTATGAAGGTATGCACACACAATTAATAATTAAGAGAAATATCAATAATATTAGGTTTTTTAACACTTACATTAGTAGAAAAGATGGCTGGGCACACGGGGATGGGGGATTGGTTCCGAGGCAGAGGGCAGATTATTGGCCCTCACCTGTATCACTTGTATCAATTGTATCACTATCCACCACAGAGGCTTGCAGGGCCTCTTTGTCAAACCCCTCAAAGTCCATATAAGTCCATATCCTCACTATCACTGACTTGGGCCAGCTGTGGTGGGTGAAGAGCTCGGTAATGTTTTGATGACTGGGTGACCTTGTGCGCACCCTGCCCGCGCCGCTTCCCATGTAAATGACCAAATTTGCCACGTAAATCAAGTATTTCAATTCTGGCATGGCACCGCGTAAATGACAAAATGCGTAAACCAAAACCCCGTAAATCCAGACTCAACTGTATTAAAAAATTACTCATATGCCATCATGATCATAGCATAAGAAAAAACTCACTAGATACTCTAATCAGAAAATAAAAAGGGACAAAGAATTAGTCATAATCTGTGTTAGCACGATTGATTGATGGAATAAAATATCTGGCGTCGTAACCTGTGGCCATCTGATGCAGAAAATGAAACTTAAAATTTTAAACTCTGATATCAATACTGTAAATCAAAATCCTATTAAGTTTAATTATCAAAATTAAAATAATATAAAATCCTGTATATATTCAAAATTATTAGCAGTTAAGTACCTCTATTGCAATTAAAAATTTAAATCGTCCACCATCAGTTGCTGAACTTCTCTCGCTGAGCGCCTTTGAGATGGAGAAGAAGCCATCCTCCTGCTGGCACTCGGCCAGAAAACGATTCCTCAAGTTCCCATGACTGGGATGCTTTACCAGCAAAGTGTCTCACAGTCAGTGGCACCAGGCAGTCATCACAATAGGGTTGTGGTCCTCTGGCCATGAGGAAACTGTGGGCGAGGTGAGTGTGTCCAACACATAGACAGTACAGTCTCATAGCAGTGGGTTTCCAAGGATATTCCCACGGATAGATCGTATTTGTAATCTCTCGCAACTTGTTGGGAACAGATAAATTGTCCCTTTATAGCTGCCATGAGGCCCGGATGACTGACCTGACTGCAAGGAAGAAATCTCTGTGAGGGAGGGAGCATCAGTCCTCTCATTACACATGAGCAGGAACCCAACAGAAATCCAATCATGGACCTGCCAGCAGAGGACCACAAGCCAGTTAAAAATATCTAAAACAAGAGGTTGGATGGTATTAAAAGGTTCCACAGAAGACAGTGCTGCTCTGGAATCACTAAAAATAGTAAAAGTCCCTGCAGAGCTCTGCAGTAAAAATTAATGCAAAGGTGGGAAGTCCCCCACTGATACTAAAATAAGGGAAGACGGCTCCAAACCCAACACTAGCGTCGGATTTAGAGCCATCTGAATAAACATACACTGAGCCATCGTGCCAAGTTGCATGTTCATGGAAATACATTCTAGTCCTCACTTCATTAACATCAGCCTTGCTCCCTGGGAAGTAACGACCTACCCCCTGGTAGGTCCCAGGGGGTAGTGGGGAGATAAACACAGGCTACCACTAAGTCTGATGACACCTGTGGGACCAAATGGGGTATCGACTTTGTGGCGCCTGCTTGACCCTAGCCAAATGACTGGCCCAAAGGCCAGTCATATTGACCAACCAATTGACCTGACCAGGCTGCAAGTCAAGCCTCCTGTCTTACCAGAATAAGGGACTGAAGAGGTGTATTGCTAGCCACAGGGTGCAGCATCACTCAACCTCCAGGATTTTCATCTCCCAGCCTTACGGGTCGCCACGTACGGCAAACACGTGGGAGAGCTACTCTCCAGCTCTGGTGGACTAGAGTAAAGGTACCATTGGCAAGTTCTCCAGGCTAGCAGTTCAGGAGAACCATTTAGTCTCATCCCTCCCTGATGACCCCCCTCCAGTATGGGAAGCCCTTTCCTCCTCGAGGTGGCTCATCAGGTCAACAGGACCCCTCCCCCCTACCACTACATGGCAGTTCCCACTAGGGGGAGTGTCAGCATGAACTTGTCCAAAACTCTCAATCAGTGTGTCAGAGAGGGTGTTAGGTTTGGTACAAGAACTGACTGACAGTTAAAAATCTAACCTTTTGCTGTCTTTATACTGTTGTATCTGCTACCAAATGTCTTGTAGAGGGCAAAGTCATCAACATCTGGTGTGAGGTCTCCCACCCACAGGGAGTATTCCTTATCTGTGTTGTTCCCTCTTGTGCTGCTGTGATTCAGCTTGAAACGAACAGGCTGCCAAAAAATAAGCAAGGTAAAATTTACAGATATGGTACTATACCTCTTTCTGGATACTTGCAGAAATGTTGAGAGCATCAGAAGATGTTGGCATAACAATGATGAGCAAATTTATTAATGCAGTTATGATGTACAGCAATGTATTGTTCCACCTGACTGGATGAAAAATATGATTTTAATACTTCAAAGGGCAAAGATGACAAACTTGAGTACAGGGGCTCGATGATGTTAGATCAGGTCAAGAAAGTTGTGTAAAGAGTGATCAAGAAATTGATAAGAGAGAATGGACATTAAGGTAGTAGGCAGTTACTAAACAGGGAGGTACTACTGCCTGGGAAGATATTGGAAGCATAATGTATTGTCTAATGGTAGACCCTGCTGTCATATGGCATCACGAAAATTGTGACCAGTCCCAGGTTGCTGATCTGTCTTTCTGCCTCATTTACACAATTGCTGGGTCTCAATTGTTTCTCTTACTTTGACAACACAACATACTGTACATACAGTGTATATTGTTTCTCACTTTTGATCTTTTTTCATTTTTGTATTTATGGTTCTTTATTATTATTATTATTATTATTATTATTATTATTATTATTATTATTATTCCAGTTGTTATTATTATTATTTTATTTTTATTTTTTATTTTAAATTTTATTTTCTATGAATTATTATTATTACAGTTATTATTATTATTATCATTATTATTTTATTTTTTATTATAAATTTTATTTACTATGAATCATTATTATCATTATTATTATTATATATTCGCCCCCAGCCCCAATGTGGGTCAGTGACCTGTGCCCGGGTGGGCTAATCCCTGTTAAAAAAAAAAATGCACTTTGGGTTCATGCTAGATAAGGGGACTACAGAGGGAATATTTATGGCCAGGAAACTACAAAAGAAATATCTAGGGAAGGCAAGAAAGTTGTACAGTCAATTCTGCTATAACGCGTGTTTTGTCAACGCGAATTGGCTGTAACGTGATTGATGAATAGAAGAAAAATATTTGTAAAACGTGAATGCGTGTTGGCTGTAACGCGATTCCACTCAAACGTTTTAAGTGTACTGTCGATTGCCACGGGGTTATGCAGTGTTTACAGTTCACGTTCGACATCACATGTTCAATTGATTCATGTGTTTTGTTTGTGAAGTGTTATTTGATAAGGACTCTATAAATTTCATCCTTTTTTTGCAAATTTAGCTGTTCCCATAAAGACTGTATGAAAAAATAAATAAAAATAATGTTTCGCAGTGCGGACTAATTGCGTTTGACACCCGCGCTCTCTGTTTACATCACGCGATCAGTTTAAACACGTGGGTTGTTTTGAAGCGTCCTCAGTGATTTTTGCTTACTGTTTCTCCAATTTTGTGGTATTTACTGTGAATATGGAAAAGAAGAATATCTCCAAGAAGCGTTCTGGTGATCGCATTCCCGGTGGTGATCGTAAAAGAAAGGCTATAACACTTGAAGAGAAGCTTGATGTTATTAACCTCAAAATCACCCTTCTCCCCCACCAAGTTATATTCACATTTTTTCAAGGTAAAGTGTTACATTTACTGTATGATTTCATTATTAAATATGAATGTAACATTTATTTAGACTGTGCTATCCTTTGTGTTAGGCGAACTACTAAATTTTTTTCGATTTCGAGTAATCTGCACCTAACCCTATTTTCTCCATAAGCCCTGTTATTTCCATTGCGCGAATTTCTACAACGCGAGATTTTACAAGAACACAACTACTGTATCACGTTATAGCAGAACTGAACGTACTTTGTATTTGTAGATTTAGAGAAGTTATTTGACTGGATACTAAGTGAGGTAGTACAGTGGGCAAGGAGAAAGGGGTTGAGAAGTGTCTTGTTCAGGTGGTTGAGGCATTATAATTATGAAGGCTCAAGAACTGCTGTTAAAGTAAATGGTGAGGAATCTGAGATGAAAGTAAGAGTTCGTCAGTGGTCTGTATTGAGCCCCTTTTTGTTTAGCATGATGCTGGAGGCAATATCACAGGATTTTATTACTGGTCTGCCCTGGGAGTTGTTAAATGGAAGGATGGAATGGAGTCAAAGGGGTATGAAAGTGCATATATGGCACAATCAAAAGTATAATACAGGTATTGACTCGAGTCATAAGTGAGGGACCCATTGTGGAAAATGGCCATGTGCTGTGTGTAAGAAAGGCAATGGCTATAACTCAATAATGTGCAGTGAGTGTGGAAGGTGGGTACACGAGAGGTACAGTATGTTGTAGACTTTAAATGTTCAGTATGTGCAGGCAATCATGTGACTTTAGCAAGGCTGGAGACACTGAACACTGTGGATATATCCTAGAACAGTGTCAATGAATTCTGATACCTGGGTGACATGATCAGTGCTGGAGGTGGTGTTGAAGCTAGCTCAGTTAAAAGGGTCAGACATGGCTGGGGAAAGTTCATGTGAAAGGAAAGGTATGCAACTTTTGTGAGAAATGTGAATTTGTATGGCAATAAAACACCATCATCACCATTTTTACTTCTGAAATGAGAATGGTGAGGTAGATGCATAATAAACACTGAAAGATAGGAAACCCTGTTCTGAGCTAAGAGGACAGCTGGGTGTTGAGAGTATTGGTGAGGTTGTGTGTATAGGAAGGCTGACATGGTTCAAGCATGTGAAGAGAATGGAGGAGTCCAATTGGGTAAAGAAATACATGAGTCTGAGTGTGGAGGGCAGGAGAGATAGTGGTAGGCCAAGAATGACATTGGGTTTAGTTGTAAGAAATGACCTCAGAGTTAAGAACCTGATGAGAGAGGCTGCAAGGCACCACATAACATGGAGAGCAGACCGGCCATCAGGTAATCACAGTTAACTCGTGGAAGTGTGCAAAATGGCCATAAAACAGTGATGATGACATGGATGAAGCCCACACCATTACAGGGACATACAACACAACTGATCACTACAACTGTGCAATGGAGGGGGGAGGGTAAGAAATCCTTAAAATTACTACACAGTGGGACTGTACTGTACAAGCATGTAAATTAAAATTAAAAAATTCACTATATGCAAGTCAAACTTTTCAGTAACCTTCTTATTTTATATTTGGAGTAAAATCAATAAGAAAATTTGCCGATTCATTTTGATTTTCTTAACCCCTTCACTGTGGGGAAACCACCTTTAATATTTTATTTGGCTAATGCCAGATGATTTTATTCAGCACAGAGGGGAGTCCCCAGCAGACTGTCTTCACTAACCCCTTCACTATGGGAACCACAATAACTGAAGAGAAGAAATTCCTAGTCTGAACATAAGCAAGCAATGACCAGAGGTTTAATCTCAAGTTCAGGCAGGGTTGAAGGGACATTACTGTATGGTACACTCAAGAGCCCACCATTCTATCAAGGCCCCTGACTAGGATATATAATGGTACTGTATTAACTACAAATATTATCTTAGTTCTAATTCTCTATTCCCTAGGGGTAACTAATTCTCCTTGAGATCTTATTTCTACTCTACCAGGTAAACTGTATGATACCAGCAAAAACTTGCTCTACATACTCCCACTGAAGGTGTAAATCATTAAGCACTTGGTATTACTAGTAGCCACTCCTAACCAAGGATGGAGTGAATACAAGAGCTCAGTATTTGAATGTGAATACTTCAAATTTCTTATTATATGAATATGAGAATAAATACAAAGAACCAGTGTCACTACGAATACAAATACCTGTATACTTTATGAAAGTATTCATGAATACTATTGGTTAAAAACTAAGTTTTTAATTACTATAAGTATGGTATGTAGCGGTAGATGATTTTATGATTGGTATTCAATATGTCACACCTGTCCTTTGTAGATACAGTATATTTATTTATACTTTCCTAGTACAGTACTGTACTGTAGAAACAATTTATCATCCTAGTTATTACAATACAGTGGTCCCTCGGTTAACGAGCACAATTCGTTCCACAAAGTTGCTCATTAACCGAAACCATTGTTTCAATGGGTTTTTGGGTAATTGGTTCCAGCTCACCGAAAATTACATACAAACGAAAAATAAATGCAGGAAAGTACACTTACTTTGAGGTGTGCATTTAGTAGGCTCCTGGTTGTTGATGATGATGATGATGATGGGAATTAGAATGGGGGTGAGGAAAAGGGAGAAGAGAAGTCACCCCATGCCACCATTTCACCCATAAAATTTTAGTTCACTTAGTGTAATTCAAGATTATTTTCTTTAAATCAACACTGCACTGTGCTATATATTATCAATATGTAAAATATATTTCAAAATGACCAATAATTTGACTGGAAACACAGAAAAAAAGCATTTATGTTGAAGAGTCTCAAACAAGATGTTCCTTCCTCTGAACCCGTAAACAAACTGACGCCAAGCTTGGGGTGTTGAGTGGCTGTTTGGCGCGCATAAAACTAGTTTCCTGTACTTCAATTATGTTCAATAATTGTTAAAATAACTAAAAAATTTAATATAAAACTTTTAAAATGATTGAATAGTACAACCTTCTTGATATTTACTAAAATGGTAAAGAATTTAAGCCCTAGAACCGATTACTGTAATGGCGGACTAATACGACAGCTAATGAGCAAGCGAAAACATGTTGAGGGGCGCTCGTAAGGAATTCGTTAATCAAGGGATTGCTCGTTAACCGAAATGAAGAATCTTATGGAAGATAATTCGTTAACCGAAGTTTTGTTAACCGAGGCGCTCGTTAACCGAGGGATCACTGTACAGTATACTAAACCTACTCAACAGTGGTTCCATCATTGTAAGAGTTCTATGTAAGTCTCAGAGGAAAATTTGTTTATGTAATTTAATGCATCACGAGAGAAACTTAAAATCCTACAAGCTTTCCCATTGATGGTGAGACAAATTATTGTTCTTCTAAGTTCTAGACAGGCTGCAGACAGACAGTGTACATGTTTGGCACACAAAATAATTGTTTTCTTTCCAACGGCCTTTAATAAGGACTGTGATATACATAAAATTTAAATCCAATTTCAAATACGAGCCAGAAAATATTGTTCAAACAATAACATTAAACTACAAATTGGCATCATATGGGAATACATCTCACACGACATGAACGCGTCAACAGTAGCCTACTCACCACAGTGATGGCCGTTGAGAGTTGCATGTTATATATAACTTCTCGGGTGACTCAGATCACGGATTTAATATGCCGATTGTACAGTCTCTCTCTCTCTCTCTCTCTCCAAAATAAATTCAGCATGTATGGTTATTTCTATCAAGAAAACAATTACGGTATTATTTGTCAGATTATCCTAAAAATATGAATACTTTGCCAGAAGATTTTAATAGGAATGCAAATACTTGGATTTCTAATAGTAATGTATTTGAATATGAATACAAATACAAAAATTAATACTCCATCCCTGCTCCTAATGTACGGACACACTCCAACTTTTGCAAGTGTACTTGTTCCTGCATGCTCCCAATACCCTCTGACTTTCTCTTCTGTAGCCCACAAGCCCCCACTGCTTTCTGGAATACTCTACCAGATCCTACAAGGCCCCAATACCACCTGGAATCTAATCCCTCTCCATCAAATGAAACCTCATTAACTTCTTTGAGGTCTCAACTACCTCTTGGAATCCAGTACTAGTTACTGAAAGCCCCAATAATAGTTCCTAGAATTTTCAGAAAGCCTCCACTGGTTCCTGGAAACAAAACATCCTTCTGGGCACTGCCATCGCTAACAAGAGAGAGCCCTTCCCTCTACAGGCAAACAGGCATGCCTCACCTTGTCATAAGAGAATAAAAACAACAAATACTCACTGGTTGACTGTGGGGAATTACTTTTCCATTGAGCTTATGCATAGCAGTCAGGGCTGCCTGATCTGATGAGAAGTTAACAAAGCAGTACCCAGCTGGATGGCCTGTGTACCTGTTCTTCATTACCTGTGACAATGTGAGAGCATTAGTACTGGTGTTAGGTTCCAAGCTAAAGAAGATGAAGCAATCATAGCTGTAGAATGCAGTTGAAGTTGTAGGGTTGCGTGTTTAACATTATCAACAACTGTGAGTGATAGAAAATAACACAAACATCTTTTTCAATGGGGAGTAAATTAATTTTCAAATCAAAACTTATTTTCCTCATATCTACACTCATAAACACTATCTACTCTCAAATAAGCCTCATCTACTTAAATAAGCACCAGCTATGCTCAAATAAACACCATATCTACTCTCTTATACAAACCACCTGCTCTGAAAAACATTCATTCCACTAAGTCCTGGCTAATGTACACCTTGAAAAATAGAGTTTTACTGTACATTTCCTTCTTATAAGCATTACATATACAGTACTATATAAATATATACTGTATACAGTAGACCCTTGCCATTCTCGGGTTTGCGATTCGTGGAGCAAATGGTGGCTAGCTTGCAAGCCTTTTCCCACAGCATCTTGTGTTGTACTCTCAAAATTTTCGTGTTTCTGTGTGAAAATGGCCCCTAAAAGACTGCCCAGTGTCAGTGCTAAGGATGCTAGTGGAGTAGGGTGGCCAGAACGTCCGGCTTTAGGCCAGACAGTCTGGCTTTTGAGCACTCTGTCCTCCGTCCGGCGCTACCTCAAGCCGGTTGTTAATTTGTCCTCCTCTTTGTTGTCTGACTAAAAAGAATTATATAAATTACTTAGGTATACTTAAAACAGCAGGAATTGGAGGCCATAATAACCGTTAACGTATTTTTATTATAGTAGTAGCCGTTGTCAACACTGCTGATGAGCTGCATTGTACGAAAGTACGAGTCAAGTTGTCAACACCATCAACACGTCCGAGATGGTTAGTTTGCCCAAGGCAGCAGTGGAGAGTGGTTGAGTTTTTTGTTCTTGCTTCAATTTGGTTAGCATATGGTGTTTCAGCAGGAGTAAAAATTAATATTCATTTCTTTCAGTTCTTTATTTATGCTGTATGAATACATGTTTGTAATACCATATATAGTGTGTTTCAAAAAAAATTTAATTTTAGAAAAATGACCACAAAATACCATTCATCACAAAATAGTGATATTTGACAAATGAACAATTCTTCTAAGTATATTTGGTATATTTTATACAACGTTTTATATATTTTCAACTCATCATTAAACATGCTTAATTTAGGTTAAAAATAGGTGTCGCCCCCAAAAAATAGAACAAAAATTTCCTCCTTTTTGGAAATGGTCACCCTATAGTGGAGTGAAATGTAAAAGGCAGAAGTCAGTGATGACCCTGACAAAAAAGTTTAATTATTAGACAAGTTAAAAGAGGGGATGAGTGCTGCCTTGGCAGGTCGGTTGTTTGGTATTGGTACACAGAAGTGCACTAAGGTAGTATAAGTTGCTTTTCGCGGTTTTGCTTATTCACGCCATTCCTAACCCCCGTGAATAACAAGGGTTTACTGTATATAGTAGTTGAGTTATCATTTAGCCTGTCCTTAAATACGTGTAGCTACACAATACTGTACAGTGAGTTCTGCTATAACGCGTGTTTTGATAACGCCAATTTGCTCTAACGCGATTTATGAATTAGGAACGATATTTGTATAACGCGAACGCTTGTTTGCTATAACGCGATTTTTGCTTACTATTTCTCCAATTTTGTGGTATTAATTGTGAATATGGTAAAGAAGAATATCTCCAAGAAGCGTTCTGGTGATGGAATTCCCCGTGATGATCGTAAAAGAAAGGATATAACACTTGAAGAGAAGCTCGATGTTATCAACCTCAAAATCACCCTTCTCCCCCATCAAGTTACATTCATATTTTTTCAAGGTAAAGTGTTACATTTACTGTATGATTTCATTATTAGATATGAATGTAACATTTATTTAGACTGTGCTATCCTTTGTGTTAGGCTAACTACTAAATTTTTTCGATTTCGAGTAATCTGCACCTAACCCTGTTATTTCTATTACGCGATTTTCTATAACACGATATTTTACAAGAACACAATTATCGCGTTATAGCAGAACTACTTGTACTGTACTTTTCCTTAACTTGGGTTCTTCTACCTCTTAGAAAGAAAGAATTAAGGTACTGTAATCATCTACTTTTAAGAATCCTCTATTTCCAAGAAAGAGTCTTCCACTTCTATAAGATGACCTTCTACCTCAAATTTTTAAAAGAATGCTGCATCCAAAGTATTGTACCTTCACATTCTGCACATTCTCTTCACCCAGGGCTCTGAAAGCAGCAACAATGAAGTTCTCATCCATGTAGTCTGCCAGCTGTGGAATATACAAGCAATAATACAATTAAATCCCCAGTACAGTCCATGACATCTGCCGAGATTGTTAGCCCTTACGCTGGAATATTTATCATATGATACACGAGGGATGCGACATGCAGATCAGGATAAGTTTTATAATTACAAATGTGGCAAAATTAATATTCATAAAGTAAATCACATGTTCCACAACCTCACACTACCCACACCTCAGTGAGGCTCTCATCTGCCTTTCAGCCACCAAAGAAGATGCATGTTCTTTGTCATTAATGGCAGTCTACCCCTCCACATCCCCCAGCTCCTTTCTCCTCCCCCATAGTCCCTTGGCCTTCACATGCTCACCTTACACTCAATCAGAGCAAAATGAAGGCAGATAAAGGTGTTTTTTTTCATACTACACTTCTGCACCTTATGCATCAAGAGGTTATATCTTCAACTGCCTAGTTTATACTATAGAAAGGCAATAGGTGAGTTAATAAGGACCTCAATGAATATTCCTCAGTCAATTGTTCATATCTGGAGCTAGTAGATGCCCTGTTCACAGCCTTAAATTAAAGATGCCACACATACAGATATTATCATTAAACTATGTCTTATTTTTGAAAGAATGAACAGCTCCACAATTAAAGTACTGTATTCAAGATAAGGCTTAGATGATAATGCTCAGTAGTTAATTCCAGCTAAAATCAGACACATTTCAATAATACCCCTGTACATTTGTTTTCACTTTGCAAGTAGGTGGGTAGTCTTTGATTAACTCAGGGAGTTGTGATTCTGCCTTGCTAGCTGTTCCCACCCTGTGGGTTGGTGCTGAGAAAGGCATCCAACCATAAAGCTTTGCTTCAACATGCCTGGTGGCAACCAGGTTACCAGAACTAAGGCCATTCCCTGGTCTCTGTTGCATTTTCTGGGTAGGCACCTTGGGTTCGTGGTGGTGAGCATGGAAAGGGGGGGTTGATCCCAATCTGGTTTTCCCCAACATCTGACGTCAGGTAATCGTGGCTAACCCACACAAGTGTGGAAAAGGGCCATAAAATATTGCTTATGATGATAATGATAACTGAGTGGAAATGGAAATATACTTTCAATGGTTTCTAGAACTATCCTTGGTTGAATCGACTTAATGTTTACCATAACTATACTTTTTGGGCATTAGCTAACAACGGTTGTACACCTGAACCAGCAACTTGAGGATATTTCTCCATAGATGATAAATGCTTTCTTACTTTATGAGAAGGACAAAATGTGGACAAGGAAAATTTTTCATATAGTATTATCATATCTAAAAAAAATTCCAAGCTCCAAGGATACCAACACTCATTTGGGATGTATAATTGGTTCTTTTCATAGTTTTTTTTTTATTGGTGATATACAGTACAGTACATACAATATACTGTATATTATTATAGGTTAAGGTATATAAGTGGCATCACATGATGGATGTTGCAGTTTAAGGGTTAATAAAGATCTAGCTCCCTCCCTTTAAATCACCTATTAAAAAATATCTATTGTCTAAGTATTAATATTTCTTGTAATACCTACTATATTTACAGTACCTGCTTTTATTGTACCATCAATACCGTTTTATCAGAAATTCTCATGTACTAAATAGATAAATTACCATTGCAATAAACATATTTGCCAACTACCGGTAGACATAATCCTGACAGCTCTGTCCTCTTGTTCAACCTTAATACAGTGATCCCTCGGTTAACGAATTACCTTCCATAAGAATCTTCAACTCGATTAACGAACAAAAATTCGGTTAACGAAATCCTTACGAAATTGTGTCAACATGTTTTCGCCTGCTCTCACCTGCTCACCAGCTGGAGTATTAGTCCGCCAATACAGTAATCGGTTTTAGGGCTTAAATTCGTTACCATTTGAGTAAATATCCAGAAGGTTGTACCATTCTATGATTTTCCAAGTCTTATATTAAAATTTTTAGTCATTTTAACAATTATTTAACATAATTGAAGTACAGGGAACTAGTTTTTAGCGTGCCAAACAGCCACTCGACTCACCCAGAATGGCATCAGTTTGTGTCCCTGCTCAGTGGAGGAAGCATCTTGCTTGAGACTCTATTGAACATAAACTATTTTTACGTTTTTACAGTACAATTATTGGTCATTCTGAAATTTATTTTACATATTGACAATATATAGTGCAGTGCAGTGTTGATTTAAAGAAAATAACCTTGAATTACACCAAGTGAACTTAAAATTTTATGGGTGAAATGGCAGCATGAAGCATGGGGTGATTTCTCTTCCACTCTACTGCCTTCTCTTCTCCTTTCTCCTCCACCCCCACTTCTAATTCCCACCATCATCATCAACCAGGAGCCTTCTACATGCACACCTCAAAGTAAGTGTACTTTACTGCATTTATTTTTAGTTTGTATGTAATTTTCGGTGAGCTGGAACCAATTATCCAAAATCCCTTTGAAACAATGGTTTCAGTTAACCGAAGGGACCACTGTACTGCTCCCCCATGATACTTATATTTTTCAATTCCACTGTAAATAAATAAATATTGAAGTGATAACCGTGGTAACATTATGAGATGTTCTTACCACCACCATGCTATTGTACTATTCCAGATGTTACTTAATGTTACATAATACTTCCTTGAGATAGATGTATAGTATATATCAGGTGCCTAAAAGAGAGCTCAGGTTCTCAACTGGCTCAGCCATGTTAATATTGTTGTTATTATCCACTCTGTATCTGTGTTTTTCTGGCTAAATAAACTGTCTCAATTCAGCTATCTATCTAACATGACAAACTGAAAAAAAAATCACTTTTATAATTTAAGTAAAGGTGAAATGGTCACAAACTGTAATGGTATTGCAGGTTAACCAGAAAATTAAAAAAGAACCAAATCAAGAAAATAACTTATTTCTTACAACTTGGAAATCCCCCAAAAATTAATTACAGTGAACCCTCACTTTACGCGGTTAATTCAACCCACAGGGTACCGCGGAAAGTGAGAAACGCGTAAAGTGAACAACATAACATATGGGATTAATTGAAATAGAGACCGGGCCGACCCCCAAACTCCACTTTTTCAGACACAATACCTACGTTGTAGTAAAAATAACTTCTTAATTTTATGATGGTATGCACACGCAATTAATAATTAAGAGAAATATCAATAATATTAGGTTTTTTAACACTTACATTAGTAGAAAAGATGGCTGGGCACACGGGGATGGGGGGTTGGTTCCGAGGCAGAGGGCAGATTATTGGCCCTCACCTGTATCACTTGTATCACTATCCACCACAGAGGCTTGCAGGGCCTCTTTGTCAAACCCCTCAAAGTCCATATAAGTCCATATCCTCACTATAATTATCACTATCACTGACTTGGGCCGGCTGTGGTGGGTGGCGGGTGAAAAACTCGGTAATGTTTTGATGACTGGGCGACCTTGTGTGCACCCTGCTCGCACCGCTTACACAACATGGCGGGAGGTTTGGATCCAAAAATGGCGCGGTTCGCCAGCCGCTCTCCGCGTAAAGGGGTACACGCACCGCAGAATGTGAGCATTCCGGTTTCGGCAGGGTACCGCGTAAACGTGGAAACGCGGAATGTGGGACCGCGTAAAGCAAGGGTTGACTGTACAGGTTGATAATCCCTTATCCGAAATCCTTGGGGCCAGAGGCATTTCGGATTACGGAATTTTTCGGTTTTCAGAATGGTTACCGGACGTTTTTTTTTTTTTAATGTATATTAGCCCACCCGGACATAGATCACTGACCCAAATTAGGGCCTGGGGGGCGAAAATATAATAAAAAAAAGTATAATAATAATAATAATAATAATAATAATTCATAGGCCTAGGTCATGTTTCTCACTTTTGATCTTTTTTTCATTCTTGTATTTCTTTATTATTATTATTATTTTATTATTACAGTATTATTGTTATTATTATTAAATCTATTATTATTATTTTATTTTGGTGTATTTTTATTAAAATTTTTATTTACTATGAATAATTATTATAATTATTATTACTATTACATTTTCGCCCCCCCAGGCCCTGATGTGGGTCAGTGATCTATGCCCGGGTGGGCTAATCCCTGTTATATTAAAAAAAAAAAAAAAATTGCCCCCCAAAAACTTACGGTTTTCAGAGCTTTTCGGTTTTCGGAATTTCGGATAAAGGGTTGTCAACCTGTACAAAGATTTCCAGTTTTCATAATTTTATTTTTCCATTGTTTTTCTTATAAATAAATCTGCTCCATCCACCCAACTTCATTTATGGCGTAAGAAGCAAAACAGTGACCTTTCCACATCTTATATATAACCATCCCAGGATAGGTAAGTTAGGTTGGTTCATCCCATCCCAATAAATAAAATATTGTAGTCAATTGCTTGAGGCAACTATGGTGTATAAAATGCATGTCTTGTACATAATGAAAATGGCACTAGTGGAACATAACAAGTTAACGCAGTGTTCAGAATGAAAAATTTTATAAAAATACAGGTAGTCCCCGACTTACGACTGCTTGGACTTACGTCCATCGGTACTTACAACCTGCTCTGACCTTACAACCGTCGGGACTTACGACCGCCGCAGTTGTGACCAATTTTTTTTTTCAAATGATGCGCGCATTTTCTATACCGAAATGTTTCCAGTTAAAGTAGTCTCCATATATAATTAGAAAATTATGGGGGCCCCGTGTGCATTCAGCTGACTACATTAAAGGTAAGTGCTCAGTCACACTGTATCCATTCCTCATTATTTATTACTTTTACTGTACTGTAGTTCATTGTAGATTTTTTATTTAATTTTTTTTTTCTATGTCGGACTTACGACCATTCGGACTTACGACCTGGATTTGGGTCCCTAACCCCGTTGTAAGTCGGGAAGCACCTGTATTGTGAAAATTACAAAGCCACATCATTTTGGGGAGTAAATACTGTACAGTATAGAAACCACAGGCTCCTTGGTTCACCAACAAGATAAGTTTTTCTTGAAGTGATCTGTTTGTCCTACGC